GGCTTTTGGATCCCCTGGAACTGGAGTTGCAGGCAGTTGTTAGCTGCTATGTGGGTGTTGGGATTCAAACCTGGGCCTTCTGCAAGAACAACCAGTGTTCTTAACCACTGAGCCACCTCTCCAGCCCCCCAATTTCTTTTTAAAAATATTTTATTATTTTTTATTTTATTTTATGTGTATGAGTGTATTGTCTGTGTGTAGGTAAGTGCACCTGTGTCATGCAATGCCCTCAGAGGACAGAAGAGGCTTTTGGATCCCCTGGAACTGATGTTTCTGACAGTTGTTAGCTGGGATTCAAACCTGGGTCTTCTGCAAGAACAACCAGTGTTCTTAACCTCTGAGCCATCTCTCTAGCCCCCTCACCCCAATTTTTTTTATCCTTTCCTTGCTATGTATACGCCTATCTACTACTTACCAGATATTGTCTATCATCTAGCATCTATCATTGATTTACCTACTTCTATCAATCATCTATCATCTATCCATGAACTATCATCTATCAGTCATCATTTGTCATTGGTCATCTCTCACCTGTCTCTCATCATTTGTTTACCATTTTCTGCCTGTCAGTTATGTAACTGTGTGCCTGTCAGTCTGTCTCTCAACTATCTTCTTCCCATCTGTCTATCCACAGAGAGAAAGGGAAGTGGAGGAGCAGTGGAGGAAAATTTTGGGCTTCACATTGAGTGCTTAGATTATCCCATCCCCTAAACAAACCCCATTGTGGCTGTGGGACCTCAGCTTGCAGAGGGCATAGTTGTGACTTAGCTTACAAAAATCATGAGCCCTCATTTTAAAGAAATTCATACCATTGAGCTTTCTGTAATTATGACAACACTGAAGGCTTTGTATAAATGAAAAGCAGAATTCAGGGATTTGGGGTGATGTCATCAAGTGCCTGAATTTGCTGGACACCCATCAGCTCTTGACTTTTTAAAATTTTTGTTTATTTTATGTATATGAATATTTTGCCTGTATGTTTTTAAGTGCACTCATGTCATGCAATACCCTTGGAGGCCAGAAGAGGGCATTGAGTTTGCTGGACCTGGAATCAAGGACAGATGTTATCCCCTACCAAGGGTGCTGGGAACTGAACCCAGATCCTCTGCAAGAGCAGCCATTGCTTTTAACCACTGAGCTGTCTCTCCAGTCCCAAATCTTGACATGTATAAAGATCTCAGAAGTGTCTTGGAGCCAACTCCAGACACAGTCATCCTTGCCCTGGTTCAATCCCTTCATCACTATGTGAAAAAAATATTATGTGGCAAGTGGGAGAAACTATTAGGATGTTTGAAAATCCAGGGAGAGAAATGGAAGAATAAGTGAACAGCCCAGCTCAAGTGTTAGGAAAGCTAGTGCTACTGGAGCCTTCAGCAGACACCTCCAAGGGCTGCTGGGTTCTGGATAGTGCTTCATTCATGTGGAAGCCAAAGTCTTCAGAGTCTGCCCTCGAGAATCCACCTCCAGAAGAGGGGTTATGCCCAGTGATGTGATCAGTGGACCCCTGAGGACTGCCATTATGACTATGCAGGAATTTCAAGAGCAAAAAACCTCATTCTTTCTTTGGGAGGGGAGATGGCTCAAAGGATAAGGACACTTGCTATGAAAGCAAGAGGACTGTGGTGGTTTGAATGAGAATGTCCCCCATAGGCTCCAAGTATTTGGACATTTTGTCCCCAGTTGGTGGCCCTGTTTTGGGAGGTCTTGGAAGGTGTAGCCATGCTGGAGGAAGCACGTCACTGGGGGTGGGCTTAGAGAGTTCTAAAGCCTTGCCAGATCTCCAGTTGCCTCGCCTCCTGAGTGCTGGGATTAAAGGCGTGTGCCATCAAGTCCAGCTACTACCATTTGTTTCTATGGCTTCCCTGGGTTTCAGGCAGATCACTTTCTCATTATCCAGCATGACCTATTTTCTCGACCTTTCTTACTGGCCCTCAGCATGCATATAGGGATATAGGTTTTTCCATGAGGAAGCTCCCATTTTGCTGAGCTTATGTCAATTCTTGCCTTCAAACTACTGCTTGCAAAGACTTAGGTGGCCTCACTTTCTGCAGGCTTTGGAGCTGGCTGGCTGGGAAGCCAGCTATGATCTCTATGGGTTGGCATGCTGAGGTGCTGATGCTTAGCATCAGCAGAGACCTATTAGTAACCACATGGTGAATGTGGATCCTGTTTAATGCTGATCCCTCAGAACTCTGCCACAATCAGGCTGCCCGGTGCTTCCACAGGCACTCATTACACAGATTTGCTTCTGATCCTCCTCGAACATCCATCATATATGCTGTGCCCAGGACAGAACAAGCTCTCAGTGATATGTTGTTGATTATAGTCTGTGACAGGCTGTGGCCAGGGAGCTGCAGGGCCTTGTGCTCTGTCTTCTGCTCAGGAGTAAGTGGGCTGGGTTGCCCAGGACCAGCCCAGTTCAAACAGATGTTGGCTATTAGTTATCTCATGGAAACTGGTCCCCAACTTGAAGCTCATCTTTCCAATTTGGCAGTTCCCGCTGCTGGACTGGACATGTCCTTGACCTTCCTGGAGCAGAGTGGCTTCACCTGTCACCTTGCCACTTGAGATGTGCCATTTCCAGTGTTATATGCACATATTTATTGACTTTTTGGAATCTTGCATTCTTTTTCAGATGTGACTCTGTAACTTTCCATCAAGTCTTGGAGTCTCAATTATGTAGCTCACGAAGTGGGCTTGTCTTACTCACAGGCCTGTGAGAGAGCAGCACTGACTGCCATGAGGAACCCTGAGGATGGCGCCTGGCCTTACAGAGGCACAGAGGGCAGCTCGAGTGTATAGCTTAGCACAAGAGGGTCAGGTTCTTACAGAAGGGGAAGATTTGGCAGCCTTTTGTTTTTAGAACTTTCAACTGGAGGCCTATAGGATATATGGGACAACTTTGAAAACTGGTTTTCTCTCTTCTAATAAGTAGGGGTCAAAAGCCATTGTATTTTTATTTTTTGGGATGGGGCATAGAACCCAGGGCCTCATACATGCTAGGCAAATATCTTGCTACTGAACTACAGCCCACAGAGCCATTCTGTATCATTGAATGACTTTTGGAGACAGACAGGGTTCTCTGTGGGCCACACTCACCTCAACTTTTTATGTAGCTCAGGCTAGCCTTGAACTCATAGCAACAGAAATCCTCTTGCCTTAACTTCCTAGAGCACTGGAATTATAGGTGTGTACCCCCCAAACTGGCTCAGAATGAGTCTTTTAGAAGGAGAACAGCTTTATTTTCTTCTGTCAAGTATTTTATTAGCTGCCTCCAATACCCCTATGAAGTCAGCATGCATTCTAAGCAGATTGAGCGATTCTGTAGTGAGGGACGGGTTGACCTATTCAAGATCATGTGCAAAGTTGGGATCAGGCTTGGGTCAGCGGGACCCCAGGTGATATGACACACATTAACCATTATGAAATACACAGTTCAGTGAAGGATGGTGTGTGAATTCCTGAGTGGGCTCCAGTTTTTCCCAGTCTCAGGATACTGACAGCTGTTGGGACCTGATGGCTCTCTCTGGGGGTTGCAGTGGGCTTGGCAGGCTCTTTGCTTTCTGCCCCCAGCCTCAGTGAGGGCCTGTGTTAGGGGCACAGAAACTTGAGAAAAGATTCTCTTCCCAAGGGCAAATTCAAAGGCACATTCAAGTTACAAAACAAATCCCAATTAGGAAAACTTTTAAGATTGATTTTTTTCTTTGTGTGTGTGTGTGTGTGTGTGTGTGTGTGCGCGCGTGTGTGTGCATGTGTGCGCATGCACGCATGCATGCAAGTGCCCTGGGAGGCCAGAGGAGGATACTTATCTCCTGGAGCTGGAGTTACAGGTGATTGTGAGCTGTCTAATGTGAGTGCTGGGAACTGAATCAGGGTCCTCTGCAAGAGCAATACAGGCTCTTAACTGCTGAGCCACCTCTCCAGCTTGTCTCCCAATTAGGAAAACTTTGTTGGTCATATTTGCATGGGAGGGGACATCATCCTGGGGAGGAGTTGGTCCCTTGGCCTTTCAGTTTTAGTTTCTTTGGTTCATTTGTGGTCACCATTGCAGAGGCCTGTGTGGCTTTCACCTTGGTGTTCTTTAGGTTTTAAACCCCACAGAGAGACCACCCACAGCACCCAAAGGCCTTTGTATCATAGGAGAGACCATGAGGTGATACAAACAAGTTTTTTTCCTATAGTTCTGAGTCTTTACTTATACAAGCCACAGGTCCCCACACAGCCTCAACTAGGATGCAGAGTTGTTTAGCATCTTTACACAGTTAACAATGAGATTCTTATCCTAGGGGAATGTGTGTGTGTGTGTGTGTGTGTGTGTGTGTGTGTGTGTGTTTCCTGGTGTTATTCTCTCTTGTTCTCTGTTGCTAGGTAGCTGGTACATCTGGCAATTGCCAAGTTGAGGAGAGGGAGGGTACAAAGGGGTAATGGGCCTCTTGGTGGGGATGGAGCCTGGACAGGGATGAAGGACCCAGGCAGTGGGAGTCCCACACAGCTACTTCATTCAGTATCCAGAGTTCCTTGGTGCCTGTTGGCTGCAGGACCCTGGGCCACCTGCAGGGGCAGACCCAGCCCTGGGCTACCAAAGGAGCTCTCCAGTCCCAAGCACTGCAGCTCCGCCTCCATTTCTGTCCTGCTTTTGACCACAGCACCGTGAGAAAGACAGGGGAAGGGAGAGCTCAGAGCCATCTTGGGACGTGTGTGTGTTTTGAGTGTGCGTTTGTGTGTGTGTGTGTGTGTGTGTGAAAACACTGACGTTTCAAAGCTCTGACTACTGCTGTCTTCTCTCTCTCTCTCTCTCTCTCTCTCTCTCTCTCTCTCTTCTTTATCCCCCCTCTCTTTCTCTATCCCCCGGTCTGCAGAAATCTAATGAATCATTTCTAGCTGATTCCAAGCAGTGCCCACACACCCGTGCCCTTCAGCGTTGACTGGGTCCCGCCTCTCTCTCTCTCTCTCTCTCTCTCTCTCTCTCTCTCTCTCTCTCAAACCCCCTCTCTCTCTCTCCCCCCCCTCCTCTCTCTCTCTCCTCCCTCCCTCTGGACCCAGTTTGTAATCTGACACAGTGCGCTGCAGTGACTCCATCTCTGTCTCATTCTCTTCCGTGAGCCGTGGGAGGCCGGACACTGTGAGCATCCAAGGTAGGCTGAGATTTAATTTTTTTCTCCTAAAAATAGCTCCTGCTCGGTTCACCTTTCCCTTCAGAGCTGCAGCAGCTTTGATGACAGGGGCTCAGCTGGGAACTCTTTACCCAGGTGAAGTTTATTCTCCAGGACTGGGAAGATGCCCTTCGGCGGTGCTGGGTGGGCAGTGGCGGCTGAGGACAGAGGCTGCCGCGGGTAGCGCTTGGTGCAGAGCGCCGCGCTCCCGTTACCGCTCAGCTTGCAGCTGATGGAGCCTTGTCAGAAGGGAAGGCAAGGAAGGGAAGGGTTGGCCAGCTTCTCTCAGTACGGTGTCAGCGATGGCGACGGTGGCGCTGTGGCTCTCCGGATCCTCTTGGGGCCTCAGCTTTTCAGAAAAGCCCCTCTGGGCAAAGTTTGACATCATGCCACCGGGGCAGAGCCTTTCCAGCACGCAGAAGCTCTGTTCTCCGTTTCAGACAGCTTTTGGACCTGGGGCGGGCTTCTTGGGGGAGGGTGTAGGGGGGAAGGGATGGACTAGAAGCATTCCAGTTTGCCCTGCTATCCACAGCCCACGCTGTTCACTGAAACATGCGCTGTGAATTTATCATTTCGAATCCCAGAGAGTGATTGCAACGGTTCGTTTGTCCAGGCAGATGTTCTCTGTACACTGTGTGTGTGTGTGTGTGTGTGTGTGTGTGTGTGTGTGCAAATGCGTGCCTGAGTGCACACAAGCTTTTGGATGGCACAGATTCCCCTCTAAAACCGGTTTTCACCGGGAAAGACAACGTTTGCCTGGGAGCCTCCAGTATGCTGGTGTGGGCAGAGGCGTGGGAGGGATGGCCGACTGGGGCCTCTGGGGGAAGCTTAGCCCTGTCCCCAAGGAGAGCAGACTGGCTGTCCTCTGAGCTACCTGAGAGCTGAGATCTGGGTGATCGGATCAGGAAGAGAGTGGGAGGACAGAAGGAAAGAGGGAAGGAAGGGGAAAGAAAGGAAAACAGAAAGGAAGGGATAAAAGAAAGAAGGAAGGAGAGCAGGGGCTACCAAAAAGGAAAGAAGAAGGGAGGGAGGGAGGGAGGGAAGGAGAAGGGAGAGAGAAAATGAAGGAAAGAGAGAAAGAAAGAGTGAGGAAGAGGAGGGAAAGAATAAAAGAAGGAAAGAAGGAAGGGGGAGGGAGAGAAGGAGGAACAGAGGGAGGAAAGGAAGGAAGTGGGTAGAGGGAGGCAGGTCTACTGTGGGTTGTGAGACTGAACTTGGGGATCCCTCAGCCCTTCTGAGACTCTTCGCGGGTCTTAGTTTCTTAGGGTGTCGGTGGCTGAGGAGGGAGAAAAAGAAGAGGAGAGAAGAGTCCTGCCTCAGTGAAGAGTCTCCTGGAGGGCCATGAAGGAGATGTGGGTGGGAGGCAGTCTGTGTCAGGGGAAGCACAATGTCACAGATGGAGCTGCTGGGTAGGAACAGGGAGGTGGCTCTGGATGTGGGAGTGTGGAGGAAGCGATGTCCAAGGTCCTGGCCTCTGTGTCAGTCATGGAGTGACTTTCCGTCCAGTTCTGAGCTAGGAGCAGAGAGCTGGGAACATTTCAAATGAGCCCCAATGTGGAAGGTGACTAGATGGGATCTCTGAAAACTGCCCTGTCCCCCCATTTCTGTCAGCTACACTATAATCTCCTGGAACAGGCTTCTTTCTCAGCAGCTGCTGTGCCTCAGTGTTTGTAGTTTCATACCTTGGGCTTTTGTGTGGGCTACAGGCAGGGTGGTTCCCAGGGGGTGTGGTATGATAGAAAGGGCAGGGTGGACAAGGCCAAGGCTTTAGGGCTAACTGATTGCCATAAGGCTCGGCACCCAGGGCGTAGAGCACAGCCCTTCTAGTGGTCCAAGAAGGAGGACACAAAGGAAGATGGGGAGACTTGGGGGTTTCAGGGTGCTTCCCTAGTGGGTAGTGACTGTGCCTGGCTCACGGGTCTGTCTGCAAAGACACTCTGGGCTCTCAGCCAGCCACCCCACAGGGACTCAACCACACAGAGTCTCAGGGGCATGGGGGTTTTACAAAGCCCCCCATGAGGGTGATGAGCCTGAGGACATTTGAAAGCAGGGGAGACCTGCAGCTGGTCCCTCCCCTCTGGTTCTCAGTTTTACTTATTTTGCTTTGTGTGTTGATGGTCGGTGAGAGGGCTGAGTGTGCTTACAGGGAATTGGCCAGGTAGTGGGTGTGGCATGTGTGGCAAGCTGCTCCTTGCCCAGCTGCCTTCATGGGCTAAGTTCTGATTAGAGCAGCAAACACCCTGCACATGTAGTGAGCATCTTACCTCTGGTTGGTGATTCAGAGAAGGAGCACAGTGCCTGCCTTTTTGTAAGTTTCAAGGGCTGCTGCTGCTGGTCTGGGAACCCCATTTGATGCCTCTGGATCAGAGGGTGACCCTCCAACATGCTAACCATCTCTGTACAATTTTCTATTCTGCCCTAGTCTTTGGTGGGGGTCACAAATGGAGCATTGTTGCAAGGTCCATACCAGTCTTTCGGGAGACCTGTGAGCATCAGGCAGGGCAGTGAGACTCAGAGGAAAGTGATTTTAAACCTCCTTTGTACCCAGATTTCTAGTGGCACCAAGTTAGTCTGTTTCTAGTGCATGGGCGGTCTGGCTATGGAGCTTTCCATGTCTGTGGGGAGGTTTGGGGATGCCAACCTCCAGAGTACTGTCCTGTGTCCCTCTGAACCAGCTTCGATGACAGCCCTCGATTCTGCTCCCATCTTGTTTTAAAATTTTTTATTTTTTAAATTTTTATGTATATGAATGTATTGCCTGCATATATGTAAGTGCACCTGTGTCATGCAGTGCCCAATTAAGTAAGAAGAGGGCATTGGATTCCCCTGGAACTGGAGTTATGAATGATTGTTAGCCACCATGTGGATGCTGGAAATTGAACCCTGGTCCTCTGCAAGAGCAGCTAGTGCTCTTAATGAATGCTCTTGAGCCATCGCTCCAGCCCCAGCTCCCTGTCCCCTTGCCTGTGTTGGGGAGCACATCTCTTCCTGCTGACAGGCTGTGTAGGTGTTGGGGGAGGGCCAGTGCTCTTGGTCTTTCTCTTCCTTCCACTCCTTTTCTTCCTGTCTTTCTCATCTTGCCTCTGTCTCGCTCCTCTTTTTGCTTTCTCCCCACTCTTCACTCTCTGTACCTTCTGCATCTCAGGCAAAACCCTTGTTCCTGTTCAATATTCAGTCTTGAGTTTAGGTCTCTGCTAAATACCCAGTGTGTTGTGTCTGTAGGTTTGGGTGCCCTGATCTCACTGTGACCTGCTTACACTTGTGAGGCTGGGTTCACGGTTTTGGTCAGCTGCTCTGACCACTGCTGCATAATATTCCACAGGATCCTTCTCCCATGTTTTAGGTCCTTTTCCGCAGGGAGGGTACCTGGAGTTCTCCAGAGCCATGGTACACAGTGGGGTCTGAGTGGCTCCAGGTGATCATGACTCTGGGCTGCATCTCAGAGTGAACACTGAGTGTGTGTAGCCTATGTGTTGTCTGGGATGGCTGCCCTGGCCATGAAAGAGGCTTCCTGGCCTTGTGTTCTTGCTAACACACAACACTGTGGCACTTCGTAATTCTGTGAATATTCCCCCTCAGCCCTGTGATCCCTACTCCCATTGTTTAAAAAATATTTTATTTATTTTAATTTCATGAATGTTTTGCCTGAATGTTTGTAAGTGCACCAGTTGCTGGTGCCTGTGGAGGTACAGAAGAAGGCATGGGGGTCCTCTGGAACTGGAGTTAAGGATGGTTGTTAGCCACCATGTAGGTGCTGGGAACTGAATCCAGGTCCTCTGTCAGAGAAGCCGTGCTCTTAACCACCGAGCCAAAATTCTCCCACTCTTCTTATTCCTCTGGAAACAGAACAGGAGGTTCTACAGTCCCAAGTCGAGAAGACAGGGAAGGGACAGAGGGGGAGGGCTATTCCTCAGGTGTCAGCCCTCTGCTCCTTGTGTGAGAGATGGGACTCATCCATGGGTGTAGAGAGGGCACTAATATTTAGAGCTGGCTACTGCTGCTGGGGGCAGACTTAATGCCCTTCAGGGTATGATGGGTGGTTGTCACCAATGGAGTGCTTTTGTTTGTTACAGTGGATGCAGAGCCGTGCTGTTTGCTGCTGGCTTGTCACTGAGCCTTGCTTGTATGGATGACTTACAGGTGCTCGCTCCCTACTTTACAGATGGAGATGAAGTGGCTCATTCAAAATCATGTGACTGTGGGGGACAGCCCAAATTCAGGCCAGAGTCCCCCAACTCCAAAGCCAGTTGTGCTATAGTCCTCCCCTACCCTCACCATCCTAGGGTCACATACAGTGGAACTGGCCTTGGATCCAGTGGACACTTTAGTCCCCAGGAACTTTTGGAAAAGTGCTCATGTTAGCTGGTGGTGTATGTCTTAGATCTCAGCTTAGAACCTTCCAGTGTAGAGCTGGGGGTGTGGTTCAGAGGTAAAGTTCTTGCTCAGAATCCCCAGTGAGGGCCTGGGGGTGTGACTCAAAGGTAGAGTACTTGCCTACTGTATGTAAGGCCTTGTGTTCCATCTCTAGTAACACACACACACACACACACATACACACACACATACACACACACACACACACACACAATAACCACGGATACAGATTTTAAAAGGGCCTCTGTACATAATAAGCCTTCACTCCATCAGGAAGAACAGTGAAGTTTCCTTACACCCCACAATGTGGACTAACCCTGAAAGCACACTGAGTAAAAAGAACGGATGCAGAGGCCGTGTGCCACAGACCCCACATCACAAGTCCCTTAGCGCACACCTTACACAGAGGAATTGCATGGCAAGTAAAATAGCACCTTGAAAAAGTGATCATGGAAATGTTAGTGCCAAGCTGGGTGTGGTGGCACACACCTGTAATTCCAGCACTAGTGAGCTGGAGGCAGGAGGACCAAGAGTTCAAGGATAGGGAGCTGGAAAGATGTCTCAGTGGTTATGTACGTAAGATTAAGGCCAACCTGGTTTACGTAGTG